GGAAAAAGAGAATGTTTTCAGTGATAAAGATTTATTATCAAAGATCAACAAAGAAGTTCTTAAATTTCGCAAAAGGAGCATAAAAGCTGCTTTCTCACCCGGAACGAATGAAGAGCAAAAACATAACTTAATTGCTAATTTTATCTTGGATATAGAGGGTGCAAGTTTGTTCTACATGCTAGCCAAACAGCTGTTTGATTCGTACCTCGAATGTGTGAAAAACCAACATAAGAACGAGGACCCGCAATCGAGAAATATTGAGATAGATAGAATGGACCACCTAACGTCAGAAACACTTATCCTTATTCTTCTTGTAATACAAAACTTTGCGGAGTTTCATGAACAGTTTTGCGTGACATGTGTTAAGACAACTGAAGTTGTTTCGCTTTGCCTGATTCAAAGTCGGCAAGTTGAAGACGTGTTTATGACTACACAGGCTGAGGGAAGCGGAAGGCCTGTACGAGCTATACGAATTCTAGGATGTTGCTTCAACATTCTGTACAACTTGGCCAGAAAAACTGAATTAGTCCAAGCCAAAGTCGACTTTGAAGGGAAAGAAACTTTAGTTTATTTCGCAAAATCCGACATCGCCATCGTGTCCCCTCTTGCTCTTCTTAGCTTAGCTTACGTTGTCGACGAAGAGAGCAATAATCTAATTCTTGCTGCTGAAGAAATTTTGGGATCTCTGACGTCACTTTTGCAAAAGGCTCTTGAGTCAGGGCGTAGGAAATTCGATGGATTCTCAACTAAAGAGRTGTCTGAAGGACTCAGTCGTCTCGCAATGAATGATACCAACAAGAGAGTTCTGGGTGAAAAGGGTGTGATATCAGTTCTCGTTTCTATAATCAAGACTTCAAATGACAATAGCGAGAAAGCTAGTGCAGTCAATGCTCTTTGGGTGTTAGCTTTTGATGAGGACATTAAGAAAACCATCACTCAAGATAATGAAACCTTAACTATTCTGCGGGGACTTCAGCAGAGTGATGACTCTGAAGTACAAAAAGCTGCAGCAGGTGCATTGTGGGAACTCGAAGGAAAAACTGCCAGGAATTCGGAGATGACAAAGGCCACCGGAAATCACGTGATGATCAGCTACCAATGGGATTCTCAGGAAGTTCTGATTGAAATGAAAAACAAGCTTCAAGCAAGCGGATACAGAGTTTGGATGGACTTAGAGCAAATGGGAGGATCGACGCTAGAGGCAATGGCTAAAGCTGTAGAGAATTCGTCTGTGGTTCTTGTATGTGTATCACATCAATACAAGGAAAGTCCGAATTGCCGTTCAGAGGCAGAATATGCATATCAGCTGCGGAAAGACATCATTCCTTTGATGATGCAACAGAACTATAAACCAGACGGTTGGCTGGGAATGATTGTAGGAACAAAACTTTGGATTGACCTACGAAACAGTTTTAATGTAGAGACGGCAACTGGAAAACTGATGAAAGAGTTAGGTGACAGAGGACGAGAGAATCAAGGAAATCACTTCAATGATGAACACSAYAAGCCTGTAGAAAAAGAKCAAGACTTAGAAATCACCTCTGAATTATCTGGAGTAGCAAAATGGACGGCAAATGAGGTAAAAGGCTGGCTGGAAGACATTGGTCTGGATGAGYTTTGCAAAGCTGTMTTACCYAAATTAAATGGACAGGCATTGATTCATCTTTACGCACTTCGTGATGAATGTCCAGATTATTTTTACAGATGTCTGGAAACGAATCTTAACTTGCGCGATATGTTTGATGTATTTAAATTCAGAGAAGAACTTAGTAAGTTAATGAAAGAATGAAGCAGATGAAACAATCCCAGAGATTTATTCTAGACAATTTGCTTGAAACCATCTAATATGGACTTATAGCAACCTAATAGCAACCTAATATTAAAAAAAAACTGTCAGGCGGAATTTTTAATTTAAAAGGGAATTTTCATATAAAAACCAGTGAAGCCTAAAATTTCGAAGTAGGTCTTTAATATAAAATTTAGCACCCTTTATGTTAGAGTGCTTTTTTCACTGTGTCCATACGTTATGATATCAATAGTTACAACCTAACAGTTTCCATTTAACAGCACTCTTTCTTACCAAAAATTAAGAATCCTAGAAAGCCTGATTTCATAAGAACCTGTTTAAACTTACTTGGAAAATAATTATTAGTTCTTACAAAATAGACGCGGGGCTTTACTGTAATATTCACTGTTGAGTCCCAAATTATATTCATCTGCAAGACAATATATTATCTAATCAGTTGTAGATCAATGGATTTATAAATAGATAAATCAACTATTGAATTACTTTTAAAGAGACTATCATTTTTCTAATTCCCTCAAAAACGAGTCGCAAAACTATCAATTTACGTCATGTGCTGTGTGACGTCATGCGGTCTCAACAATAAACTGTTAAGAACCGCTGACCGTTTTACTGCCTATTAATTTTGATAAATCTATAAACTCGCCTTGAAATGGTACAAAATACGGGGACTTGACCTCAGCTGAACACCCTTCACACATTTCTCGCCGGACAAGAATGAAATCGTAGGTTCAACAGGTGTTACATTCACGCTAAATACTTTATCTCTTATTTAGCTCCTCAAGAGGACTAAATACGACTCTATCCCGTCAAAACAAACGACTGCCTCCTGTGGGGAAAACTCTTATATCAAGTACGTCGCGATAGTTTAGCAGTGCTTTGAGATATCTGTTATATTGCTATATTGCTGTGTAACTGGGCGATATGGTCAATTATGAACCGTGTAGTAGTAAGGATTACGTGTATGTTGCTTACGGGGTTCTTTGTGTTGTATGTCACAAGAGACTTGGATCGTTTAGAGGGCTTACCAGCAACT